CAAAGGGGAACACATTAAAAGGGATTTTGTTATCTACTCCCTCCGTTCCAAATTACTTGTCGCAGAAATGGATGTATCTAGAACTAAAATACATCTAGATACATCCATACCTGCGACAAGTAATTCGGAACGGAGGGAGTAGCTGCCAAACAGGTACTTTGAAGAGACATAAGAAACAAAGGAAATATGGCCAACAATAATGATACCTTTTTTAGCTTCCCGAATGCATGCAACAGGGCATTGTACGAATGTATGTCAGGCGTAAGCCCAAACTTTTCTTTCATTGCCTCAAAAGTTTCGTATGCTCGCTCAATGTCCCAAATATTTGCACAGCCTAGTATAACACAGTTAAGAGCAGCAACAGATTTGTATGGTGGATCCGCGGAACTCAGATTCTCTAATTGAACATAAACCTGCAAATGGTAGCCTATAGGTTAGAGCATTCAATCATACTTCGAAAACAAAAAGACATAGCAGGCCAATAAAATGCTTATTCCAGATTATGAAGTCCAATTGACAAAGATCATGCAGTTGTAAGCATGTCATGAACAAATGAAGTCTGGCTAACCATGTAGACGTTGTACAACAAGTATCTTCCAAGTCTAAGTAAGCAAGTGAGTCGCAGTTATGTACGAATGCAAGCCAAGTCATTCAAGAAATAATGTAATGCTAGCAGAATGGAATTAAGGTACAGAAAGCCATGAGAGATTATTGCCAGTGGAGAGCCAACGCACAATTTCCCACAAATATTACAGTAGTAATGCTGACCAAGTGAAAATAACAGTAGAGAAGAAACTGGCATAATTTTTTTATAAAAAAGGGAGCATTCAAGCGATGTCACAGCATATAGAATGGATGCAATCATGTCGCCGACGGAATTATATGGTAGATGCTTTTTCTTGAAAGAAGACTCATTGCATCATGAATAGCAAGTGTAAGCGGATCTACCGAGTCCAATGTGGTGAAGCCATCCTTGCAGCAAGCAACAACAAGTGGTTGCAATGAAGTAAATGGTGAGAAGAGCTCTTTATCGATACCCTCAAAGTTCCTATAGGCATTTTCAAATTCACGAAGAGTGCCAAAAGCTCGTTGGAGTTGACCAATTGATGAATGAGCATAAATCTTCGCAAGATAAGTCTCTGGCATGGGTGCCCTTTTCTGGCGCAAGGACTTGCGTAATATTGACCAAGCAGCGTTCAAGAGGTCACTGCTGCAGGTTCTACCAGCAGCACTGAAAGCTGAGAGTACTAAACCTTCATCGACTGAACGGTGAATAGGGGGTTTAGAACCCTCGCCATGTGCAATCCATCTCGCAAGAAATTCCAAACCAAACATGGCTAGCTTGCTATTGTTAGCTTCAAAAGCAGCTTCTGCTATGTCAATGCACCAGGCCCATTGTGGACACAAGAGTTTGTTCTTCTCTGTTGCCTGAAATAAACCAAATTGCACGGTCATAAATATGGCAGACAAATGATTTTTACTTGACAAGCATGCCAAAAGTATGAATGTCAGAGGCCATCAGTGTAACTCACAAACATCTAAGGAATGAGGTCAACTGTAATATCAAATTCCTAAATAGCATACAAGCAATGAATGAACTGTTGTTTAGAATAAGTACCTTGCACTTCTCTATGATTGATGCCAATGTGTCCAAACTCCCAGATTTAACACATACTCGGACATACTCAGCAAATACAAGTGAAGATACCGCGTAGCCTGATTTAAGCATCAATTCCAAATATTTGAAGGCTGAGTCAGCACGGTTGTGTCTAAGAAGCAGATCTACAACCAAATTGTAGGATTCATCATCTGGCACAATTCCTGTTTGCAGCATCCTGATTTCAACAGATAGAGTGATAGACGATCATTCTGAAAGCCGACTTTATTGCAGCAGCGAGTCACAAAAATTTATGATGGCCTCGAAATAACACATTTGGTACAAATGAGAGCATAAGCTACTGCCATGCTAACCATGTAGGGAAAAACCAAAGATAAGCTATCTCGACCGGAAAAATCAAAGCTAAGCAGTTAACCAGAATTGTATTAACAGTAACCCTCTGCAGGAAAACTCGATAGTCTACATATTTTGATGACAAAAGTAGTTACAAATCTAGTCTGTCGGTGAAGCAAATCTCAAACGTACCATGGATCAAAGTTGTATGTCAGCACATCCATAGAAAAAGGAAAATGAGAAGGGGCTTGCGCTTGAGCACAACGAATATATGACCTTTGCGACTAGCATCAGATCACCCTACCATGCTAATACCAGACAGAAGATGATTTGTTTGTAGATTGGGTTGAGGTTCCACGATAGTACAATTTTAAAACAAACGTATTCTTGTGTAACAAGAGATAACTAAGCAATCCATATGTTGACAATAACTTAGGATATGCTACGAGTTTGTTAACTACCTAGAGTACACTAGAGCAGTTGAGTCGCAGACAGGCAGAAAGAGGAGAACTCACCGTTCGACGATTTTCTCGGCCCCTTCGACCTCGCGGGCCTTGACCATGGTCTTGAGGACGAGGTTGTAGGAGGCGGTGTTGGGCGCGAGGTCGAACTCGCGCATCTGGTCGGCGAGGTCGAGCATCTCGTGCGGCAGGGCGCCGGACATGAGGTTGGCGCGGAGGTAGTGGTTGAAGAGGTCGACGTCGGGGCGGTTGGGCTTGCCGGTGGCGGCGTCGAGGGAGCGGACCCAGAGCTCGAAGAGCTGCTTCATGTCCTCCCAGTGCTGCTCCGTCATCCAGGCGGCGAAGGTCTGCTTGAGGTCGGCGGCGCTGCGGGCGGCGGAGAAGGCGGCCGCGCGGTGGCGGTCGGGGAAGGCGACGACGGCGGGGAGGAGCGAGGCCGGGCCAGAGGCGGCCGGGT